GACATATGCTGTCTGGCATGGATGTCAGCTCAGCAGTGTTTCTGTACTTCTGAAAGCTCCCTCCAAAAGGTAATTACTTCAAAACTAATGTTCAGTTTGGGTTCATGGCTTCCAAAGATACAAACCCATCAAGGATGGAGTTGTGCTCATCTTTCCAGTCCCGCGTGCGTTGGGTTCAGGGCAGGCTCTCGGGAGGGAAACGTTCCACGTTCCCTTCTGGATACATACAGGATTCTGAAGGTTGCTGATGTTGTCAAGTATCAGAGATGGTCCTGTGTTGGTTGGCAGTGTGTCCCCATCCTCTGTCCAAGCACGTTTTCCTTTGTGCTTTGCGCTTCCTTCCAGAACAGACCCTTGCCCACGGGACGACAGGACAGAGGCAGCACAGCCCGCCCCACAGAGCAGCCCCACCAAGGCCCGAGGTGCTGACGCAGCGCACACAGCTCAGCACACTAGGGCTGGCTTTGCTGCAGTAAAGACTTTTCTCTGTGATGAGTATTGGGAGTACTGTTTTTCTCTCTGTGCAGCATTTTCCTCATCTCTTTGCCTATTTCCTTTGTCCAGTAATTTCCCCAGATTCCCCATGACAGGAGCATTTTCCTTCCAACATGTGGCACTGCGAACGTCTGTAAGCGTGGAGATGTTTTTTACCATCAGTCTCACACTGCAGTACACGTAAGGCACACGGGGAAGTTGGCCATGGGGAAAGGAAAAAAGACCCTGATTGTTATTCATAAAGCAAACACAGCTGTCATTTCTAGAGACTTCAAGCCATTGTAAGATGAGCTAAGACTGAAAAAATTCTAGGCCCACTCTGCAGTCATGTTTTTATAATAAACATGTTTATAGCATTATAAATTTCACACTTCCACATTTCTGCACTTACAAGGTCTTTATCGTAATGAATGCCATTTCTGTATTTCTCTTCAGGAAGGAAAATTACCATTTCCACATGGACTTGAATTGCAGAATTGTTCACAGAGACTGTGGAATCCTGTTCCTGCCATGAGGGCTATAATGATTTCTTTGTAGTTTATGTTTATTCAAGTAACATAATTTATGCTTAAAAATGTAACAGACTCTGAGGGCTCTTCGGGGAACTTAAGTCTTGTTCTGATGCAGTTTACAGTAGAAAGAGAGAGAAAATGTAGACCCCTCTTTCTCAAAAAGGTTAAGTACAAAATCAAATGGAATTTCACTCACAGGCCAGAAACAGCGCATTCTTCTATGAAATGAGAGGCTTTACCAGTTCTAACAATCTTATCAGTCTTGGTTTCAAATATTTTTTATTACTGCTATGGAATTAGTAAGTTAGCAGTAGTACATTCAATAAGCTAGGATATTAAATAATTATATATGTTACATATTTGTAATTATTAGCCCTTTTTTATTCACTAGGGTGTCAGCCTTCTTAGTCACTGACAAAAATTTCAGTTCTGGACTCTTAAGTCAAAAAATTCATACATTCTTTTGTAAACTGTACAAATGAGAATGATCTGTTTTCGTGGCTCTTTGCTCCCCACTCCTGGCAATGTTGGATATGCGTTTGGATAAGGTCAGTTTGAAAAGTTTTCAAGCTGGCCATCTGAAACTCGCCCTGCGTTTTGTTAGAATTTGTAGGCCCTCCGTAGAGTTTGCAAAGATTTCCTTATCGCAAACTAGATAACAATATTGATAGAAAAAAATCTGAACCTTGGATCCCGAGGGTCTTCTGAGAGAGGAGAAGGTGGAGGTTACAGCACGTGACCTCCTTTGGTATAGAACTAACGGGAAAAAATGGGAGACATGCAGACGTATACCACCCCCAAGATGGACACAAGAAAGGTGCTCAGTCCTCGACAGGTGGTGGTGGTTTCGTGTTGCTTTTAATTTACAACCCAAAGTTTTAAATTAATACATTGATCAGGATCTATTAAGTTTTTAAAACAGCTCTGTTGAGATATAATTCACATACCATATATAATTCACCCATTTAAAGCAGAGTTCAATGCCTTCTGGTATAATTACGTTAATTTTTTTAAACTGTGGTAAAATACATTACATAAAATTTGCCATTTTAACCACTTTTAAACATGCACCTCAGTGACATTAGTTACATTCATAGTGCTGTGCAGCCATCGCTGTTCCTAACACTTTATCACCCCGAATTCTGTGACCATTAAGTAACAGCTCCCTAGTTCCCCCTCCTCCGAGCGCCTGGTAACCACTAATCTACTTTCTGTCTCTATGAATGTGCCTATTCTAGGTACTTCATAGAGGCCGAATCAGACAATATTGGTTGTTTTGTGTCTGGCTTCTTTGAATTGATAGGATGTTTTCAAGGTTCATACATGTGTGGCATCTATCAGAACTTCATTTTCACCGCTGAATAATATTCCATTGTAGGTATATACTACCTTTTGTTTATCCATTCCTCTGTTGATGGATCCTTAGGTTGTTTACACCTTTTTTTTTAATTTTGGCTGTTGCAAATAATGCAGCAGTGAAAATTCGTGTACAAGTATCGATTGGAGTCCGCACTTTGAATTCTTTTGGGTGTGTACTTAGGAATAGAATTGCTGGCTCCTATGTAATTCTGTGTTTAGCTTTGAGGTACCGCTAAATTGTTTTCCACTTTACATTCCCACAACAAATGTACAAGGGTTCAGATTTCTTCACATCCTTGCTAACACTTGTTATTCTCCACTTTTTTGATTATAACCATTTTAGTAGATGTGAAATGGTATCTTATTGTGACTTTGATTTGTATTCCCTAATGATTAGTGATGTTGAGCATCTTTTCATATACTTACTAGCCATTTGTGTATCTTCTTTGGAGAAATGTCTGTTCAAGTCCTTTGCCCATCTTCTAATCAGGTTGTCTGTCTGTCTGTTGTTGAGTTGCAGGAGTTCTCTGTATAGTCTGGACATCTACCCCTGATCAGCTATGTGATTTGCAGATATTTTCTCCCATTCTAAAGGTTGTCTTTTTACCTTCTTGATAATATCCTTTGGTGTACAGAAGTACTTCATCAAAATTAAGTCCAGTTAATCTGTCTTTTCTTTTGTTGCCTGTGATTTTTGGCATCAGCACTAAGAATCTGTTGCAAAATTATTAATATATCCTGATCAATATATCACAATCCTTTTTTAAAACATCTAGGCCAGCCCTTGGCCCAGAAGAGAGCCTGGATAAATGCAAGAAAATGTAAAGCAACTTTTTAAATCATCACACATAATGAATTGAATACCACATAAATGTGCTGTGCTCAGAAGCACCAGAAGTGAGGCTACAGAGGACAGCTGTAGACAGACCCAACCTTAAGGAGCAGGCATTCTATTCCGAGAGAGATTTCAGTTTGGAGAACGTAAAATGATTTATAACGGAGTACGGGCAGCCGGGGTCGGGGGTCAGATTGACAAGAGGGCCTGGGGCAGTTACATCTGTGTGCCCGATCACTAGGCTGCCGAAACCAGCAGAGTTAACTCGGTCCAACCAAAGTAAGCTAATTACACCCCTGCTGAAGACCCCACAGTGGCTCCTGTCACCTGAAGGATCAGAGCTAAACTTAGCCTGGTCTTCAGGCTGTCTGCCCATTTTCACCTCATCACGTTTTGTGGCTGGCTGGGCAGGTACAGTAACGAGGACGAGCAGTTACACACGGTGGTGTGGGGGGGAGATGACCACGGGCCCAGTCTACAGTGCAGAGGGCCTCACGAGCACCCGTGAGCATCCAGTGAGCAGATGCATTAACAGATCAGCTGACAAGCGCCCCTCTCCTCCCTTGGCCAACAGGACCCCAGCGAGATGCCCAGGCAGCTCGAGAATTCATCCTGAAGATGTTCGTGGACCTGAACCCAGACAGTGACAAAATTATCTACTCCCACTTCACATGCGCCACAGACACCGAGAACATCCGCTTTGTCTTTGCCGCCGTCAAGGACACCATCCTCCAGTTGAACCTGAAGGAGTACAATCTGGTCTAATGGTGCCTCCTCGATTCCACCCTTCCCTCCCCTGGTGGGCTGTTGAAGCTGTACAAGAGGGACTGTATTTCTGTGGGAAACAATTTGCATAATACTAATTTATTGCCGTCCTGGACTCTGTGTGAGCGTGTCCACAGAGTTTGTAGTAAATATTATGATTTTATTTAAACTATTCTGAGGAAAAACAGGATGCTGAAGTACAGTCCCAGCACATTTCCTCTCTTTTTTTTTAGGCAAAATCTTGTGACTCAGTGTATTTTCACTTCTCGGTCATGCACTCACAAAGATAAGATTTCTTTCTCTCTCTCTCTCTTTTCTATTGAGCAAAAATGAAGCTGATTTTCCTTGTCCTAACCCATCCCTTCCTCCTGATTTTTCCCACATTACAATGGCCTTTATCCTAGTACCATTCCTGGTCAAGTTTTTCTCTTGAATGATACAGTCAGGTTAATGTTATTCAATTTAAGCCATCAACATCAGCTTAATTTAACAGTTTGTAGTTTCTGCTGAAGGATTCTAAGTATTAATACTATGGTTTTAAATGTATTGCTCTGGATACACATAGAGAGGTTTTTTTTTTTAAATATATATATAAATATTGTCTTGCCTCACTGTGGGCTGGGACGGTGGATGCCCATCTAATGGTTGTGTCTTTTTTTTTTTCCTACCTTCAACCATAGCTTGGTTGCTCAGTGAACCATACAGAAGTCAGAGCATGGCAAGGACAGAGACACACAGAAGGAGTTCTTTCTTATCAAACGCCATGTGCCATTGTCCTCCATCCTTTCCTTGCCTTTTTTCCCCCACCTTCTCTTCTTCAAATCTCAGATGCCAAAAAAAAATACATATATGCCAACAGACACTACATGACCCTAATGGCTGCTACCCAGAACCTTTTCATAGGTTGCTCTTAATTTTTTTCCCCCCTCAGTTCAAATTTTTCCTCCTTTTTTTCCTTAGCATTTGGGCCACAATTTTATAATGACTTTCATTATGGGTATGTATCACCAAAGCTGGCTTTTTGTTTAAAAAAAAGAGAGAGAACGTAAAAGAGAAAAGCCAGTATCTTAAAATGTAAGAGAGTAAGACTGTGAAGCCTAAAGTGTTTGACTGAGAGTGAACCCGAAACACCAACTGCCAAATAATTGGTCACTACACACTTGATTTTCATGGTCCATCATCTTCTTTGCCCTTAAAATCACATTGTTTAGTGTCCATGGTCCATGTTGAGTGTCTAAACCGACAATAAGGGAAAGTCCCCTGTGTGATACACCATGAAATCTGCTCTCTCACTTCATTTGAAGCCAGTTTCACTCTGTTTTTAAGGTCAAGTAGTCTGCCATGAACATTGGTTGCTAATATTACTCTGACACCTTTAATTGGCAGAATCTGAAGTTACTGCTAGTTTACCGTCTTTGGGATTGTCTTAAACTGATGACTGGTTGAGTTGAACTTAAGGAAGATTTGTGGACTGAAACTCAAAAGTAACCTCTGTGCTCTACAGAACATGTATTTATGTAACTGAACATAGAGGGAGAGAGACTGGAGTTCTATATGTGCAATTTTTCAGCGAATGCAAAAAATAACAGCACACGTACTGACGAGCTTCTGTCAAGCAGCTGGAATTGAAATATGATTTAAGAAAGTCAATCAAGATTGTGTTAAGCCTGCTGGGAAGTTAGAATTAGGCCATGATGCTGGTCTCATTTTAACTACAGTACTACTTGGCAGGAGTCTAAACTTCCATATAATCACTCTTTTGGAACAACAAAGGAGAGGGAGAAAATTAATGGCTTATCAGATGCGTACCAGACTTACTAAACAGTAATGGAATGTGCCCATTCTTTGCTCTCCCAGCCTCAAACTACACAGGTTACTTTTTTTTTTTTTCTCCTTACTCAGAAAGCACCTGTAATTTAATTAAGAAACAGACTGCCTGTAGGTATAGTGCAATTATGAATGCTCTAATCATTGTACATACATCTCTCTCTCGATAGTGCAGCATCCACACTGGCTTGGTAATCGTTAATTTTTTGGCAGATTGAATGTGCTGTATTGATATGTATCTATGTAATTGTATTGTATGTCTTATAGCTAATTCACATTTTGAATAATGTTATTTTATTTACTTTTTTAAGAGAGGAGAATGTAAATTTGTCAGTTTATTTCTGACTAGGGATATTTTTTTTTCCATTTAGAAAAAAAAAACCTTACTATCGTACAGAGCGGTACTAGCATCGTGCTATATAAAATCATTTGCACATTCCTGAGTAGAGGTATACTGAAAGTAAGACCCAAAGGTAATTTCATAGCAAAATACATAAAATCAGTTGGAGCTTTTATACAAACATGGAAACCAACTTTGTAGAACTTTTGCCATTTGACCTAGGATTGGAATATGAGCTTTTATACAATTCATATTCTTATTTGGCAAATGCACAGTTTAGTATTACCTCTCTGATGGCCTTTATTAGAAAGGCAGTTTTAGAAGCTATTGTGATCCATTAAGGAAATGTTTTAACAGCTAGAGACCACTGCTTGCCTGAAAGGGCAATCAAATTTGGTGCAGCAAAAAAAAAAAAAAAAAAAAAAAGAGGAAAAAAAAAAGAAAAAGGAAAAAATTTAAAAAAAAAAAGGAAACAATGACATTCGAAGGCCTACAGTGTGTATAGAAAAAAACCTCATCACAAGATCATAAGTGTTACAGTTTTAGGGAATCAAGATATTCTATTTAATAGAGCTATAGTAGATGTAGTCGATTAAACCTGATCTCAAAGCTCAAAGCAGCTGAGCAAAACAGGGAAAGATTGTTTTATGTCTTCATGAAATTGGGATGGAATTGCTATGCAGAACTGAGGTTTGTGGCTTCACTGTTCATCTTAGGGTGCATGACAAGATCCCTTCTCTTGAGAAAGGAAAAAATTGATCACCCTAGCTGCAGTGATGCAGAGAAACCGAATTGTATCCACACTAGTCAATCGAAGCTGAAGGATTTTCTTTTTTTGTTTCTTTGTTTGGGGTTTTATTGAAGGGGCGAGGGGCGGGAAGGGATTCTTTTCAGTTTTGTATAAAAACAAAGCTTACTCATGCTTTATATTATATCGTGATTGCAAGCTTTCTAAGCGCGCGCCGCTGGACTCCTCGTGACGCTCCAGAGAACGGAGGCCTGTGGCGAGTTTCATGGCAACTTGGGCACGTCTTATCAAAAACACACAACACAGAGACCTTCCTTCCGCTGACCAAGGCAAGCAGCCGTTTCATGACTCACTTAACACATTGCAGTGTACCAGTTTACAGGTTTTTTTTCCCTTTTTGCGTGACATGGCAGTTCCAACCCACAGAGAATCCCTTATTTGTAAATTGGAGGTTTGTACTATGCCTTACAGAGCTTAAATTCAGGAGTTTGTGCCTCATATCTGAAACAAAGGGAAATCACGCACCCATTCAGAGGTAAAGAAATCCCCCTCCAAGTGTTTGTTTCTTTTTAAGTAAACATTTTCATATAAAGAGCTCTGCTGAATGTCATGAATAGACTGGGGGGAAATCTTCTAGGAACCTGCATATGTTGTTCACTAGGAGATGATATCTACAAAAGGCATTTGAAAAACACCTGAAACTTGTTTTTGTTTTGTTTTTTGTAGAGTAACTCACGGGTCTAATATTTAAAAAAGGTAATTCAGCTAAAGGACAATTTACTTTTTGTACTTCAGACTATCTTGATTGTCAAGGTGTACGAACTGTAATCTTAAAATTTATACTGCCACATGATTGTAAATTTTAGTTGTCTTAAGTTAGGAATCGGTGAAAAGCTATTTATGCTGGATATGGGTCAAAAATGACTATTTGCAAAAAATATATAAAAATAATGGGAAGAAAGGGCTGCATAATGAGATACTGCAAGACTCAGATACTAGCTGGAAATAATCTTCAAATTACCCTCGGTTTCCCTTTGTTTTCAGTTTCTCAAAAAGGACGAATGAAATGAAATATAGCAGAATGTTAACCCATATGAAAATAAAGTGTACCCAACTATTGTAACGTATATTGCTGCTCTTCTTAAAATTAAATAAGGGTTTAAAACCACTTACTCGGTAATTGACAACATCTCAATTGACACAGATAAGGTGTGCTTGGTGTACAGATTTTCTTCCAAAGACCGACCTTTGGTTAGAAACACACACAAAAATTAGAACGAGTTAATATTGTATGTTTATCTGTCTCCACATATTTCCAGCATATGTAGCGTTAATAGATCTCTCCTGGTAACTGTCTTTGGGATTTCGTTTTGATTCCATCAAATTAGGAAAAGAAATGGCTTAGTTGTATATGATTAGCTAGAGATTTTCGGAGCCAGACACCTGCTGTTCAGTAGATACTTAGTACAAAGTCTCAACTTGTCATTTGTTTTTCTCACAGTGTAACAAATCATTTTCTGCTGTCTTCCCAACTACCAGTGCCCTTCAGTAACTCTCTTGGCTCTAGAATCATCTGTTCAAAGTATGCATACACATCTAGCACACAGTAGGTGCTCAAATATTAATTTCCTTCTTACCTCCCTTATCTATCGCGTATCCTCCATTTCCCCGTATGATTCCAACCCAATAGTAAATGACATTTACATGTTATGAAAATATCTATTGGGTACAATTGGATCTCACTTGGGTAAAGGAATTCTGACTTTCAGATAAGCTTTGGTAGACGGAAAACAACAGGGAGGAAGATATTCTTCAGTAGAATATTTTTAAGTTAAGAAAAGAAAGATGGAAAATTACTCTGTAACTTTGTTCAGGTTACTTTGACTGAAACACATGTGTTTGGTGGATTTCTTTTCCTCAAAGAATTCTCTAAATGCAACTTGCTGGATTCCTCACTTGTCATCATGTTGGAAACCCTTACTAGACCTATGTATTTAGGGAGTTTTGTCAGAAAACATTTTTAACTTGCAGTATTTAAAAGAATCATATTTACTGTTCTTAAAATGTCATTCAAATGCATGTATTGTCTATTGTTTGGGGATGGGAACTAGTTTTACAAAAAAACACCTAATGTTGTATAATAATGCCCCAATGATCTTGCTGGTTAAAAATACAGTATTTTTGGCCATAAGTTTGTACTACAGTATTCTTCATTCTTGAGTTTTCCTTCTCTTGAAGTTGCCTAAGCCTCTCCCAGAATATTTTATTATTATTATTATAAGGAGTATGGGCTAAGTCTTTCTTTCTTCAAAACACTTTATACTGCACGTGCATTTCCCAAGGTAGACAGGTTCAGTAGTTTATAAACAAACCAAAAAAGAAAAAAAAAACTCCTTTCTGTATATAATCAGAAATTTCAGTCTTCTTTAGTGGATATATTCATATTGATAATATTTATCAAATTTGTCTTAAGAAAAAAGAAAACCTTGCCCTAATATAGGTTGCAAGCACCTGTAAAAACAGGTTTAAATAGCTGCTCAGTAAAGACTTCCAGGGAGCCACCCGTCCTCGCCACCAGTGGACGCTTGGCTCGGAGCTTCCTGCCTCAGTGGTGGGAGTGAGCGGTCCACTCCCTGTGGGGCAAAGGACCTGCTGTAGGTGTCCTTAACATCTGTGACTTTTAGAAACACCCCTTGAAGGCTTTAAGATCAGCTAAAAAGTAACTATTCTTTTTCTAGCAAGTTTGTGAAGTTGGGGTAATGGAGACAAGTGTTTGCCCAGAAAACTGGGGCTCAGGTCGGAATTTGACACCATCACAGAAGCAAGACCTGTTCCTGCCGCTTGGGATCAGGTCTTTCTAACTGGCAGCCCAGCCCTTGCTTATGGCATTGTGTCTTTCAGGATGCAGCTCCATCCATATACTTCAGAGAACGAAGTGTTATTTTTACTTACAAGCCTTTGGTGTAAGGCTTGCCTGCCCTTGCATGGTTTAGAGAACATTCCCGGCCGGTGGTGTCCCTTCTTCCTGGGTCTTGCGGCGAAGGGTACGGTGTGCCTGGGCACTGTGACTTAGTCCAGGCGTGGGGTGATAGATAAATCAGCACAGCCTCTGCCGAGGGTCCGGGGTCTCGGCACCACCATCCAGGGCTTCCCACTCTGTGGCCTTCTGACTAGGGCTTGACCCCACCAGGACCTGTCCTTGGTCCATCTGCACCATCGTCTTAAAGACCCTTTGCCCACAGAAAAAATAGCAGAAACTTGCTGAACATTGTTTGAGCCAAATATTTAAACCTGGCCTTTCAACTCAGAGAGCAAGGCTGCCTAGCCAGATTTTTGTCTGTCCTATCCTTCTGAGCAGTAAAAGAGTAGTTGGTTTGAAAGCTGCCCTGCCTTGCTCTTTCTCTTCCGAGCCTCCTCCCATTTTTCGGTTGTGAGAGCCAGAGAGCTGTCTCTTGAGAAACCAATTAAACCAGAGCAAAATGTGAAAGTGACATGACACCAAGAAACAACAGTGGTTCATTTGATCACGTATACAGAGCAACGTCTGATGGTCAATTAGCCAGTGTCTTGTTTTTCTCTCTTTGTTACCTAATTTGGACTCATTTCCATGTCCATCCACTACTCCATATTTAAAGCTTTTACTGAAATTTTGATCAGGGTTGGAGAGTGGAAGGTGGTGATTGAGGATGGATTTCTGGTTGGTTGGTTTCCTTTTGTTTTAAGTTGTCTATGCACTACCATTGCATCTTTGTTCCAGTGCCTTGGCTCCAACTATTTCCAGGTACTGATCTAGTATCTATCTTAAGGGAGCCTCCCAGGTCCCTTGGTTTTAAAATGTTGGCCTCTTTTAAATCTAAGATATATAGAGAATTCTGAAAAGATTTTTTTCTTTGAATTCTTAGGCCTTGACTTGAAATCTGATCTGTGTTGATTTCCTTTCTTCCTATTTTCTTCAAGAATGTCAAGGCCAGGATATTTTTCTGTCCCATAAGCCTGTGGGTAAAGTAAGGCAACTTACCCTCTTTAATCAAGAGGGTAATTAAACCAAACCATAGTAGCGAAGAACTGATGGCAGCAGCCCCTTGGTGTGGGCCTTCCACTGCCCTGCTCTGCAGCCTTGGAGAAGCTGCTCTGCAGCTGAGATGACTATGGGCCTGTTGCATTGAGGCAGACTGCACTAAGGACCCCTAGAACTTTCACTCGATTCCCAGGTTGTCCAGTATACTGGACTGTTGGATATTTTAAGCATCTTTAGAAATGAGAGTCCCAGGAAAAGACAGATTGGCAAATGAAGCCTGGCAAACCTTAGAAGTCTGCAAATGGGCGTTCCACACTGTGTTCCCAGCTACCAGGAAGCTTCCATAGCTGCTGACCAGACCGGATTTGTGTCTGCTCTGGGGTGCACCTCACCAAGGACACTATGCCTGTTAGGAATCCCACGCTGCCTGCAACATACCATCCAGTCAAAGGCACAGCTGAAGTGCAGGGCCCACATCAGGAGTCGTGGCAGCAGTGTTTATATTCCCAGGCTTGGCGCAGCGTTAGCAAAAGGGGCCTGCTTTCTTTTCATGGAATATAGAAGGACCTACCCAGTGGTATCCTGGTAAATGGTTACTAGCTGGGGAGCGGTGCAGGACTGCAGGACGGATTTGTAGCATGCGCTGCTTTCCACGCTGGAAATACTCCCACCATGCCCAGTTTTAAGCTACCAGTTTGTGAGGTCACAACTCAGAGCTGGAAAGAAATGCTAGTAACAGTGGGCTCTCAAGCTACTCCTGCAAGGGGGGCACCCTCACTCCCCGGAGACAAGGCCTGTCTGTAAACCTGGGAAGCAGCCAGCAGGGCAGCCCCACCTGGCTTACTGCACCCAGAGCTCACGTATTCCCTCCCCTGACCTGCAGTTAATTACCAAAGAGCACCCTATTCACCACAGGCTCAGAAGAAGAGGCAGTTTAGCTGGAAACACTAAATATTTAAATTCCCAAAAGGGAATGGCAGGAATGGAGAGCCAGGAAGCTGGGGAGGAAGAACACAAAATCAGTTTGGACATCAGATTCACCGAAC